CGTCAGGTGCTCGTGCAGTGGTAGCGTCTCTGTGGGCCATCCATGACGATGCAACACTCGAATTCATGACATCGTTTTATGGCAATCTGAAAAATGGGAAAAGTGCCAGTACGAGTCTACAGCTGACAATGAACGAGATGAGAAACACTTCCAAGTATACAGATCCAAAATACTGGGCGCCATTCTTTATCATTGGTGATGATATAACGCTCAAGAGCATTTAAAACGTGTTTGTTAAATGATAAAGCAGATAACGAATGAGTGGACATGTTATAGACTACAAATATAAAAACACGTTAAAATTAGGCTGAGAATACTAACATTTAATTGGCTGCACAATGTATTGGAATTCCTTTTTATCTTTTGATCTTGTAGTATGTCAAGTGTTACGAACCCAAAAATTGAAGTCACAACTATTAGAGTTAAAGTCAAAACTATATATCTTAACTATATCTATATCTTAACAATACCTTATAATCGTTATCTATATCTTTTATTTACTCAGTATTAACGTAACGTTTGTAGAATACCGTGGGAAATTCCCACAGGTTTAGAATATATAAAGGGTAGATCTGAAACATGTAAAGTAGATGAAGTAGGTGAAGAGCTACCCGGTACCTCTCTCTTGGGCGAATGCTTACACAAGTCAAGTTTGGATTAGCAAGCAAGCCGTGAGAATATGAATTATAACAAGAAATGATAAAGAAGAACACGGATGCTTAGCAGATGATAGATCATAGACAATTAATATAACCMCTTTGTTTTAATGCATTCTCTGTTAGAAGGCAATAAGTAAGTGTTAATTGTTATGTACCAACTGTCAAAGTCCATTTCTCTCTTACTATGATTGGTCGAGAGGGTATCACGTGAACGTGAACAAGTTTCGATATTTCCCCGGCAACGGCTCTCAGCGGGCAACACTATATGTTATTGACCGGTAATAACAATACCAGATGTGATTTTCACGGAAATGGAAATGGAGATGAAGTTTTTTCTGCATCAAAAAATCAAGTAATAATTATGTTTTCTTTGACATTGGTATATAACAAAACACTAATAATTGTTTATTTTTCTTTTCTTTCTATTTTATAATATTGAAAATGTAGAATTGGAACAAATGAATTAAATAGTTGGATATTTTCAACCACAAGAGTTTATTATCATAAATGATTACAAATGAAGTAGATATAWATTTTAATTATTATGGGAAGCCATTTCAATGTTACGGCATGTCGTACCGTGTACGTGCTGTAAGTCAGTACCGTATGTTTCCCACTCATACGATGACCATTCTTATGGGAAGCCATTTCAATGTTACGGCATGTCGTACCGTGTACGTGCTGTAAGTCAGTACCGTATGTTTCCCACTCATACGATAACCATTCTTATGGGAAGCCATTTCAATGTTACGGCATGTCGTACCGTGTACGTGCTGTAAGTCAGTACCGTATGTTTCCCACTCATATTTTAACTATTCTTATGTGAAGCCATTTCAATGTTACGGCATGTCGTACCGTGTACATGCTGTAAGTCAGTACCGTATGTTGCCTACTCATACGATGACCATTTTCATCGGAAGCCATGTCAAATGGTATCATGTCGTATTGTGTTTTAGAATCGAGCACTTTTCTTTATTAGATTTAAATCTTCAGCAATAAGGTAATCTTTTTTTAGTCAAAAAAGATTTATTCCTGGTCGGTTGCATATAAGTCTGTATAAGCTCGATCAGACGTTATCAGTCATATAAGCAATAAGCCTGAAGCGAGATGACGTTTTACCCCCGACTCTATACCATAATAGTTTTAAAAATTCTTTCATATTAAAATTTTTGATTCCTTAGAGAATACAGGAACAATAGTCATAATTAAAGAACAAAAGCA